TAGATTGTTTCCTCCTTGGCTCCCTCGTGGTGGGCAGGGTGCACTGGAACATCTCAGCTGTTTCTCATGAGATGCTCAGCTCCATCTCTGAGGGAGTAAGGTTTCTTGTCTGCTCAGAAACAGAGAAAGGATCTTTTGTTTTTATTTTGAGGTGAATGCAGATTTGAGGGCTCAAGTCCAGACTGTAACCTTAGCCCAGAAGTGGGATAAATATAAGGGGTAATAGTGCAGGTGAAACAGTGGCTGAAGTGGTAACTAGATTTTTATTTGAACTGAGACTAGTTAAGTTCCACTGTTAGATTACTGTTTGCTTGCAAAATGCTTTCAGATATGCTCAGCTTCAGCTGTTCTTTCTAAAAAGTGGGGCTCTGCAAAAAGCACTCCTGTGAGGAAAAAGAGAATTCAAGTAATTTGGATCTGGGGAACAATTGCTTCCTTTTTTTTTTTTTCCAGCAGATCTCTGCAACTAACTAGTGTGATAAATGTGTGTACAGACTTTATCAGAAAGGTCTGTCTGCTACTCTGAGCAGTATGTTGCTGCTTGTTTTGATTTTGCTCCTTAGTTTGAGCACTTCAGCACGTGGCTGCTGGTTTACTAAGCCTTAGTTGTTACTGTTGTGGAGTCTGCAAGCTAAGATTAACTTGACATCACCGTGTTAATTTAAGGAGGAGTGAGACTTCACAGTACTGCTGTGCGAGTAGAATTCAGTGAATTCATGCTTCTTGCCCATGACGTGCTAATGGATCTGGTGCTGAAGATTTTTGGAGAACATGCCATTCTGCTTCTTTGCAGCTGGACTCCTCTGGAGAGGACACTGATAGACTTGATGTTAGCATCCTGGTGTAGTACCTAGCTTGCTCTCCTGGGGAGATCTCAGGTTACTGAACCAGGCTAATAATTTTTGCCAGTTTTGGTAGCTGTTTTACTGTCTTGGCTTTGCCAAAGTGTTACTAAAATGCCTTAGTGAAAACACCGAATCTTATGTTCAGTGTTGAACATTATGAAGTGTTAGCACACAGACTCCCTAGTTGTGTTATGATAGGTGTTTTCTCTGCAGTATGTTAGGTCTTAGTGGCATGGTAGGACATTCAGATGATGATGTGCCCAAGAAACGAGTAAATGGTTGTGTAATTTGAATGAGGGCACGATCTACCTTAATGGCTGTTTGTCTAAATTTCAGAATGCTTCTTAAAAGGAACTGAAACCTGTTAGGTCTGTAGAAAGTACCTCACTGGACCATCTCTAAAGGAAAACACCAAGGATGTCAAAATAAACTGTCACAGTTAAATCCTGCTCGTAGTTTTCAGCACTGAAGGTCATAAGGTCTTATTTCCAGTGTCTTGGAGAAAGCAGTGATGTGCTTAGATTCCATGGTGTGTTTTTCACTTCAGCTATCCCTGTACCATTAGTTGTATCATTGAATTATCACTCTGCTCTTAACACAGCCAAATCTTTTCTAGGCTATATTTTCTTTTAAAGTAGTAACATAATGCTTATTTTTCTCTGATCAGCCAGCTTCTGTTCTTTCAGCAATTTGAGCTATTCCTGTGTTTGCAGGCATGAAGCCATGCACCTAAGTGATTCCATTTAAACCTTTTATGTAACATTAGTACTTGTGTATTGCTTTGCAGCTCAGCATGGTAGAATTTAATAATCTTCATAATGAATATGCTTATGACAATTTTTAGTGGTCTTTCTGTTAAGCATTTAACAGTTCTGGTAGTGCCTACATAAGGCTTTGTATATATTTCCTCTTCTAATGTTAGTAAATCTAAAGCTGTCTAAGGAGAAGAGTAAGTCTGTATCCTCCCACTCCCTGGTGCCACCCTCCGCTTCCCTCCCCCCCCCATTAAATTAGACTGAAGTTGGATATTGTGTTCTGCCAACAAACTCTCAATGGAGTATTCTAATGCATTCCTAGAATTACAGCAATGCATTAGCCAGTATTTTCAGATGCATTTAACTTTTGGGGTGGAAAGAAATTGACTTCATCTCAAAAATGCCTGAGCCAAAACTTGGGAAGGCTTTAATGTACTCTATACTAAACTTAAATAGATTAAGTCTACAGAATCAAGTCCTTTGTTTTTCTGTAATTACTTAAGTTGTTGATGGCTTATACATCCACACTTCTGTCTCTCTGAAGAATGCAGTGGATTATTTTTATAGGAATATATTATTTCAATTAATAAGTATTCCACCCTTTCTTTTTCATACTCACACTTTGATCAGATATGATTGCTATCCACTAATGTAGTACTGAGCAGATGCAGGGGTAAGGGGGAGAGAAAAGGGAAGGAAATTGAGAATTGAGATTCTCAAAACAGTACTAATCTGGCTAGTGGTGGTTGTTTTGTGCTGTGCAGGAACATGCCTGCGGTGAGGGGTTCAGAGTTCGCAGTCTGCTTCTGCTCAAGGTGGGTGACAGAACTAGAAAGTTTTGCTTCCTTGTTGGGGTGCAGCATGTTGATGGCATCTTAGTTGCATCACAGGAGCTAAAATGCCGTAATTCCATGCTGGAATGCAGTTTCTTCCAGCTTCTTGCTGGAGCTTTTGCTCGTGATTCAACCATGTCAGTAGTTCTGTAGTAAAAAAATCTACATGGCTGCCACTAAGTGTTTTAAAACTAGTTATTTGTGGTGTGTAACTAATGAACCAGGGACTGAAGATTGTAATTTCAAGCTCCTCCTGTGATGGTCTGTCAACTGAAGTGGTTCTTAAAGTATGCCAGTTACTTGTTTTTTGTTTTTCAGGTGCTGGCAATGATTTAGGATCTACATCAGTCATACAGACAGCAAGATTCATAAGCTTTCTGTGAGAGCTCCCCTCTTCCCATAAATCTTTTCCACCTGTTTGCCAGGGAGTTAAATGTTGTTTTAAATTCCTTTCTAGACAAAGCTTATCAGCTTTTTTGATGGTGATACCTGTACACAGGTTTCTAGGTAAGAAGGATTTGTGGAATGTGTTCTTCTCTCCCTCTTCCTGTTATGGGAAGAAGTCTCTGGACTTCGTAGGCTGAAAAAGGGTCAGTGTAGTGCTAGCAATTAGCAAGGTGTGCGCGCTGCGGTTTTGTCTCTGCAGTCTCATGCTTCGTTGCCTTCTTGTGTCCATGTGCTCTTTTCCCTGACACAGTATGTGGTATGCTAATATCTTCTTCATCACTGTCTTGGAGGGTCATAGCACTCCCATCTACCACTTGACTGCACATGAGTTCACCAGAAAGGTAGATGAAGATGCCTCAGCAGGCCAACTACATGAACAAAAGCTTGATTGGGAAGGTGCCTTGGGAGACCATACAACCTAGCCTCCCAGCCTCACTATGTCCTTTATCACCTCTAGCAGAGGTTTGTGTAACAGGTTCTTAAAGATTTACAACACAAGAGACTTGATAGCTTTGCCAAGCAATCTAAAACATGTGTTTATTGGCTCTTTTGGAAGGAGTTCCTGATCTGTAATCTGAGTCTCTTTTCAGCTATGGCCTATTTTTTCTACAGGTGTGGAAAAGCTGCCCTTCATGGAGAGCTTGATCCTCCTGGGGGGGGGCGGGAAATTCCTACCTGTTTCGTGCAGTTTCTTTAGCAGAAACATCACTGCTATTTCATATTTTGGATCCTGTTTCCAGAGCTTTCTTGCATTTCTCGCTTCAGATTCTTCTCTAGTCGGTTCATGTCCTTGGCAGTACAGCACCCAAAAAAAAAGATGTAGGACTCCAAAATAAGTCTTGTTGTGGCTGACTATTTTGCAAGTTGTGTATGTGTGTACATACAGCCCTGTTTGGTACTTGATTTATAACTAGTAATTTGTTACTGATTCATGTTTGGACTGTAAACGGGTCATTTTAAGGTCTTCCTTGGAATTCTAGCCTAGCCAGCTGTTAGGTTGTGGCTTGCTCAAATGAGAGTTTTGCTGCTGCTCTCGCCCTTTCCTAGGACATACAGCTGAAATTGCGTGGGGAAATCATGCAACTTGTGTTGATTCCTAAAGGAAGCTGGATGAGGATAAAAGACATACAACAGACTAGTTAATTAAGCACTTGTAAGCCTGTTAATCTCACTACTTGTGAATAAAATAATTCTGAAGTTATTCCAGAAAGGACCTATTAGGGTTCTTCCTGCCCTCATGTCTAGGATGTGTTAGTATTTTATAGAGAACAGAATTGAGGAAGCCAGCGGTTGAGGGTCTAGTGCCTGTAGAGATCGTCTTTTCTCTGTGACGCATCTGGTGGTAGCTTTTCCAATGCCTACGGGCTGGGTTTTCTGTGTCCAGTCACACTCTCACTGTTTTGCCAAATGTTGTGCATCAGCCTGACCTCAGATCATTGAGCCTTTTTCCGTGGGCGTAGAGATGACCGCAAATGATGTGCTTCATGGTGACTTTTTAAACTATGACACGGATATTCATATCTCCTTGGTGTACCTCTATTTCCCTGGAAAGTTGAGGATTGCCTTACACAAGGGTTCCTGTTACACTATCTGTGTGCCTTGTTGATGAGAGTCTATCAGTAATCCTTACATAGGTGACTCAAAACTTACATGAGCAAACTGAAAAACATCAGAGTCCTGTGGTGCTGTAGAATCTGCTATAAATAAGCTATTGGTTAGTGTCTCTTGGCTTGTTTTAGACCTTAGCAGTGCAAGTTAGCTTGTGTATCAAAGCGGTAATATCTTAACTTAAATCTTAACTTCTCTGTGCCTCTCCAAAGTTTACCCGGACGTATTGTGTGTTGCTAGACTCCAACACCTGGAAGGCCTAAGGAGACATGAGGATAACTATGTAATTGGAAATCTGTATTAAAGGCAAATAATCTGACTAACTTCTGAGTAACTACGGTTACCCTCTTATTAGTTAAGCCTGCCGTTGGTTGCTTACTTCAAGACCTGAAACTTGTGTCCTCTTGTCTAAAAGGAAACACCAACTGCCTCCTAGGTATTCCCAAATATTATGGTTTAACAGACACCGTGTATGATGCATTAACTATTCTCCATATGTATTTTAGAAAATCTTGGAGTATCTGAAGTCCATATGGCTATGTATGATGAAGATATCTTGAAAAATCCCTTTTATTTGGCCATTCAGAAGCGACGTCCTGATCTATGCAGCAAAGTGGCAGAACTCCATGGTATTGTAAGTACATTTATTATATGTACATTTAAAAGCTGCATTTCAAATAGCAGCTATATGTGTTTACGTCATGCCTGTACAACACATGTCAAGACTGGTGCAAGCCTACAAAACTTGGAGGTGAACCAGAGCAACTTTTAGTTTAAGTACTAATTCAGACCTCTTGGTATATGGCATGGTAGTAAAAGGTCAACGTTGGTGTTGTTGCTAAACTTTACAGGAAGCTTATTTTCTCTGTTATGAACTAGTTACCCATTCTCCCACTTGTAACTTAAAATGGGATTGGCCTTTTGAAATCCCTGGAGGACAGACACTCACTAAGTTCTGACAGTGTTTTACATAGCAAAATAAAGCCATTAAACTGAGCTGGAATAAAAACTCCAGTCCTTAAGACCTCTAATCTGCATGAAGACTAACTGCAAAATAACCAAATTAAGTGTGGAGACTCCATTAAATTCAGGGGTTATTGTTACCTGATGATAAAATTTAAGATAAGCAACTCAATTCTTAAATTGAACAGTTCTTTCATTTGTGCATTACTTAAGATGGTAATCAGTTGAAATGTTAAAATCTGTTCACCAGTTCTGTCTGTATTCCAACACCAGTTCTGAAAGCTGTGTACTGAAAGAACCGCTTGCTTCGTGTTTCTGTTCCTTGACAACAAGGCTTCTCTTTCCAGAATACGCACTGTGTTTGTTGTATTCTTAATGTGGTGCTTTCTAATTAAGTATTTGTCTCAAACTGCCAATCTGTTGGTGTGCAGTAGACCCAAGGTGTTGCTTATCTTAGGTTTTTTTTTTCTTCCTGATGGGTTTTCATTTTAGTTTGAAAACATACTTCACTTTCACTAGCTGCCTAATCTTAAATCATTCAGGTGACGAGTGCAAAGTAATGTCAGACCTTATCTCCTTCTCTTAGCATTGTTTGCTTGGCTACATCTGACACCCTTTTTGAGATGAGTCACTAAATGAAACTTCTAGGTTAATCACTGGACTCTGTTTATCAACAGTATTTTCTGTTCATTTATTTAAACAAAAGCACATATAGTTGTTAAATACTTGCTAGTAAATGTTTATAAGCCAGATTCAATTGCTTGCCTCTACATAGCAAAATGTCTTGGTGGTTAGCTGGTGATACCTGGCATTTATCTCTAAAGCATGATACAACTTTTTAGGTGTTGGTTCCATGCAAAGGAAGCCTTTCAAGCAACAGTCTGTCCACCTGCCAGTTTGAATCCTACGTTCTGAGGCCGCTAGAAGAAAACTTTCAGACCTTAAATGGAAAGGTATTTCTGTTTTGATATCTGAATGTAGCTTGGGGACATGCCAATAAATTCACTGCAGCTGATGAGTGACAGTATGAACTAATGGTTACAGGAGGTAACTAGGAGTTAGAGCTAACTGGTGAAAGCAGTAAGCCAGAGTTCTTGGATATGCTGCTTTATAGCCAAAGCTGTGTTTTGGCACGTACACCTGAATAGTTGTCCCGTTCAGATGGTAGCACTGTCTGATTGCAGCTTACTGCTTTGGCAGAGCAAGTCTGTCAATTTGTCTGTGTTTTGTGGCTGTTAGGGATTTTCTTGTGTAGCAGAAGGGCCTCTACCGTGTAGTTAAGAAGTAGCAAATAGTAGCCTGCCTATACTGTATGCAGAGGCACATTCACCAGGACGTAAGACAAATGTATGATGGTATGGAGTTGTATCTGAGCTTGACGTATTAATTCGGTGCAGTAAGAGTAGAAATGGGCTAATGGAGCAGGAAGCCATGGTAACCAAAGGTGATGCTGTGTAGGATCACACTTTTTATTTGTAATTTTGCAGTACAGTCTGAGGTCTTGCACCTGTTTGCAGGCCATCTAGACCTGCTTGCTGCAGGTTAAGCAAAGTTTAGGTAGCCGTGGTAGACTAAAGGAGTTTCTGTTTCTGTGTCTGCACAAAATCTCTTGAATCTGGTGCTTTCTTGTCTTACAAGATTCTCTAACTATGCAAGGCAGAATCCAGTTTTACACTTGTTCCGGTGTTTGTTTTTGTTTCAGGAGATCTTCATACAAGGAAACCTCATCATTTTAGGAACTGGTTTTAATTACCATCTCTCAGTACCTGTTCTTTTTGAGGAAACCTTTTACAATGAAAAGGAAGAAAGCTTTAGTATATTGTGCATAGCTCATCCATTGGAAAAAACAGAAAGCTCAGGTACGTATTGAAGTGTTAACTTGGTCTTGTTTGCACAATGAGCAAATAAGTATGTGTATGCTTAATACATTTCCTTCATTCTGAAAAGCATTGACTTGTTGGAAAGCTCTTGGCATTTATTAGCTGGCTGGGGCAGATGTTGTGTTGCTGGAACAAATTAAGTTGCTGCCAGGCAAACTTAATTTTGTAGGGTCTGTGCCCCTGCCTCAGCACTAAAAATTCTCTGCAGAACAGATCCAGCATCACTTGGAGCAATGCTCAGTTTAGTGCTGGCTGCTTAGAAAAGGAATTTAGTCTTAAATGTAAGGTGGATGCAGAAAAAGCTGGAAGGGTAAATCCTTTCATGACCACTTCCTCAGTGGTTGGAGATTGTATATAGCACAGTTATGTAGCAGCGCTTCTGGAGGTGGTCTGTGTCATTAAGCTGAATGTGTTAATTTTTGTCCTGGTACTGAAAGTGCTCTTGATAAAGCTGGAACCCTCTTTCCAAGGCCGCTGTTAAAGCAGTGGATGTAACAGGGTTTCTTTGTGGATTTGTATAACAGTCTGTTTACTAATTAAAAGGAACAGAGGCTTCTTTAAACACATGCTTTTCCTGAAATAAAAACATTTAGTCTTCTGAAATACATAGGAATATCCATTTGAAACAAATGATGGCAAAGGGAAGTAGTGCTAGGGGAGTGTGAAAATAGTACTGTGAGGGAAGTATGAGAGCTTTTCTGAAAAAATGGCATACGTACAAGCTTAAATTTTATAAATAATCTAAATCTAAGAAATCATTCTTGTGGTGTTCCTTTTTTTGGCCATTAGTATTGTAGTTGTATAGCAGTCTTTCAGAAGCGAGGCAATTTGTAATTTCAAAAGTAATTTGAAATGAATGAGATCTAAGCCTATTATTAGTTGGTTGCTTTTGATTGCAAATGAAAGACTTGCCTAGAAAAAAAAAATTGGAAAAGCAATATGAATTTTAAGTGAGGGATCCTATTGTCTTATTCAGAAGGAAAGTGGATTAGGTTTAATGTTTACATGAACATCTTTGCTCTCCCATTCAGAGAAAGCACATCTAAATAAAGAATAGGTTATGTAAAAATCAAAGATGGGATTTTTATAGCTCACTTAGAGCATACTGACTTCTGCATGGACATTCAGTCAATACTGTAATGTGCTTTTCTTCTAATTTTAAGCTTGACTTGCACTCAGATTGAGCTGTGCATGTGGCAATAAATTACCCCAGGGTAAAAAAGCATGTGAAATCAGTTTTAGCGATTCCAAATAAATACTTGACATAAAAGGCAGAAGAGCCTGCTGTCAATGCGATGTATTATGTTCTTGTAATTAAAAGCAGTCCTTTGGTTAAAGCACTGACTCAGTTCACCATACCTTTATTGTGCACAAGTGGGCTGTGTATGACAGAGTACTTTCCTGTGCGTACGTATTAAACCTCTGTGCTAATTCTTGGCTTTCACTTTAGGTGAATCTACAGCTGCATCAAACTCCTGTTCTCTTAAAAATATTGAGGATGTTAGAGGATTCCTGGGAAGGCACTGTGAGAGATTTGATAAATATATAGGATCTTTCTACAGGACGTTTAAAGAACATGAAAGGAAAAGCCTCCGCCACTACATAGTCAGTATCTTGCTTCTTGATGTTTAATTTACTAAATAGATTCAAAGCACTGAAGTGAATTATCTTTGTCTTATTGAGCTTTTCTATGTCACAGTAGCCTAGGGCTGATGAAGGTGGGAAGGGAGAAAGTAGATTTCCTAACTGTGTATTACCACATCTTAACTATTAAGTAAAGGCAATTTTTCTAGCTAAAAATCTTACCGTAGTGCACCCTGCTAAGGCAGGGAAGGCTTCCTTTCTTTGCTTATTTATGCTTTGTTGCTTCAAGTCAGAGTAAACTGAATCTCAGTGCTTTTTTCTCCCTTTCTCCCAACCAGGATTCAGTCAGCGCACTTTATACCAAATGTCTCCAGCATCTTCTGAGAGATTCGCACTTGGTAAACACTTACATTATGGACTGTGCATTTAGCAGAGCTACTTAAGCAATACATTATCTAACTTTCTCTTGCTGTTTGCATGGTATTCCTTTTCTAGAAGATGCTCGCAAAGCAAGAAGAGCAGATGAATCTGATTAAACAAGCAGTTGAAGTAAGCATCTGAAATGAAGGAAAATAATTAGCAAGCTATTTTTAACTCTCCCTTTCAAGCCTGAAGTACTGTTTGGTTTTTTTACAGATGTATGTACACCATGCTATTTATGATCTAGTCTTTAAATATGTGGGGACTATTGAGGCAAGTGAGGTAAGCTGGCTTTTTTTGATTGCTAAAGATTATTTGTATTAATCTAATGCATTTAAAAAAAACATACCCTGTTGCCTTCCTATTGATTAGGATGCTGCTTTCAACAAAATCACAAGGAGCCTTCAAGACTTGCAGCAAAAAGACATTGGAGTGAAGCCTGAGTTCAGGTAAGAGATGATCATGGGCTCTCAGGAGTCACTGAGATCCTGTCTTAAGTAGGTCTCAGGCCAGCCAAAAAGTGTGTTCCTTCAGTCAATAGCAAGTTTTTCTTACACTTCATTCCTTTGGGATGGGAAAGTAAAGCTTTGCAAGTGTCACTTCAGGGCAGCCTTTGCGCTGATCGTTGTCTCCTTTGCTTTTATATTCTTATGCTTCTCTTTCCATCTACAGGGTACAGAAATGCAAATCCATCTGCAGCAGAGATGGAAATATTTTAATACTGTTCTTCATTTCAGCTCCAAATAAGTTAGAACTTGGCTTTTGGACATCCTGCACAGGAACTCTGTATGCTAACCATTTCTTTGCAATTGTTTCCTAGCTTTAATATACCACGTGCCAAGCGAGAACTGGGCCAGTTGAACAAATGTACTTCCCCTCAGCAGAAGCTACTTTGCCTATGGAAAGTGGTACAAATTATTATGCAATCTCCTAGCCAAAGAGGTCAGTAATTAGTGAATTAATAACTCTATTTTAAACTTTTTTCTTAACTAGTACACACAACGCTTTATATAAACAGCTGTTTGAATAGCACTTGTGGATTAAATGGAATTAGACTGGGATCTGCTGCGCAGGTCTCCAAACAAAGCAAAATGGAGGCGACATACACACTTCGGTGGTGTTTCTTGTGGTGAGGTGGGGCACTTGGTTACTTAGATATGCTTTAGCTGGAGCATTGTGAGAAGCTTGCATGTGCTAGGGCACTTTCTCCTGCAGAAGAATTGAGGGTCATCCATTTTGAACACCGAGTATCGCTGCTAGATCACTTCTGTCTGTTTGTCTTTGCTCCTTGATAATCCTGAAACAGATATTCTTGAGATGAATCTTTTGCAAAATGCTGAGGTGGAAGGGGACACACAAATGTGTTCTGTGCTGCATTCAAAGTGCTGCCATGGGTTATGGAAATGATTCTGTGATAGGAAAGCATGGGCCTCTTAATCTGATGCTTATTTTACGTAGCCTGGAGGGAGAAGATAATTCCACTAAGTAAATGGAGTAGTATAGTGATGTTTCTCCTACTTCAGCTCTTCCTTTCTCAGGAAGACTCCTGGGCTCTGGAAATGTGTAGCAGCTGAAAGGGTAGTTTTTCCCTCAATTTTGGAAATCTCTGGCTCTTTCTGTATCAGAAGGAAGAGATGCTAGTCAAATATTGCCATTGGTAGTGTACAAACTCTGGTGTGGTTGGGTTTGGGTTTTTTTTTTTGGCTCCTGGCAGCCTATTATAGAAGGAAATTGAGAATATTTGAGGGGATGCCTTGGTTACTCAGTGCCTTCTCTACTAGTAGAGCTGGCCATTAGTCTTGGGAGGTGGAACTCCATTTATAGGTATTGCCTTTGATCTGAACCATGACATGACTAACATCAGATGTAAATTCTGGTGGTGTGTTTTTTTTTTAGTTAACATGGAAACCATGTGTGCAGATGATCTTCTCTCTGTTTTGCTGTATTTACTTGTGAAAACGGAAATACCAAACTGGTATGTAACTACTTGGGCTATACAGAGCTCCATAGTATCATCTTATAGGTAATCTGCTGTAGGGGCAAATGTTTCTGAACACACAGTAATACTGAGTGTAAAACAGGCTGATGTAATGCAGAACACTATTTTTAGTAGGACAGACAGCAAATGTATTACAGATATGGCCAAATTAAGGACCTATCAGGAATTCAAGTGCTGTGTCTCTGATGTCTTGATTCCCAACCTAAATCTGGGAATCTGGTTGTCAGTACAGACTGGTCCTTCCTTATCTGTGTGTGGAGCTGTGAAACCTTGGTGCAGCTTCTTGAGGTTTGATACATTTCATATAGAGAAACTAGATTTGAATGTTAATTGCTTGCTGCAGCCTATGCCATTGTGGCTATCTGTCCTCACTGTAAGTAAAAGTATATCTAAACCTTCCTTTAATTTGTAGCTATTGTTACCCTGGTGCTTATGGTGCTTGAAACATTAACATGTTTTGAAATTTGTGAAAACTATCCTGCTGCTGTTCTTATCCTGTCCTTCATATTCCTTATATGCAATTAATAGTATTTCATTGAATCGTTAAGAGATAATTTAAGTTCTGATCCACCCTACAAAGAATAGCCATAGCATTGCTAGCCAAACAATCTTTTTGGAAGCTTTTTCTTAACCCATACCTATTGTCTGCCTGGGTTGCCTGAGATGAGTTACAGTAAGATGTGTCATGCTAGTGTCATTTTATTTTTGGTACTTCATGGCTTTAACTCTTTATTTCAGGATGGCCAATGTGAGTTACATAAAGAACTTCAGGCTTTGCAGTTCAGTGAAGGATGAGTTGGGATACTGTCTAACCTCAATCGAGGCTGCAATAGAGTACATCCGGCAAGGCAACCTCTCTGACAGATCAACAGTAAGCTGCTCTTAAAGTCTGCCAAATGTGTATTTGATAAATTTGTAGGACTGTACCACTGTGGGAGTAAATTGTGTCAGAGGATACAAACAGCTAACACAAGCTTCTTTTTTGTGCTTAAAGAAATAAGTTGAGGTAACTATCCCTGAAGCAAATGCTGAGATGGTCTAAGTTATTACAATGAAGTCCTAGTTCTGTATCAATACTTATTCATTGTATACTCCTTGAGTAAGTAGCTAAATGTCAAGTCTGCCTCTTCATATGACTAGAGGAAAAATGACAGTGCTATTTTCAACAGCTGAGTCTTCAGTAAGTTTATCTCCTGTCTGTGCTCTTTCTGTCATGGTTGTGAAAGCAGTGCAGTACTTGAGAGTAGGCATAGCTTAAAGAGACTTTTCTTTATTAATTTTGAAAAGCTTCTTGATGCTAGCAGCATGGAGACTGTGGTGTAACTTAAAATTATTCAGTAATCTTTATAGTCCATAAATTCCATGTTTGTGCAGATTACTACGTTGCACTAAATTGACATTTTAATGGGAGTGTAGGGCTACAGTAAGGGTGTGTTTGAAGTCAAATTTGGCTCTCAGGATCTCTGACCCAGCAGGAGCTGGAAGTTTGTGGATGCATGAGTTATTTCCTACTGGGCAACCAGACCTTCTATCAATCAGGTCAGATCAATCAAGGATGATGTGACCTAAACTTGTATGATTTAAGAACTTTGTAGCTTTGCCCTGGTAAAACTTTCTGTGTTGCAAAATTAGGTTTTCCTGATCTGATGTGGAAATCGGAAGGAGTGAACTTGGAACCAGAATGAATTCAACATGTCTCAGTCTGCCCAACTGCAAAGCACTGGAATCTAATTGCAGGGGCCAGAATAATGGCTCAGTGTGCAGGGCTTGGGATGGGACAATCTGGGGCATAATCTTAAAGAAGCAGCACTTAAAGTAACATTTTAGCCTCTTGTTACTTTTTGGTTTTGTTCTTTTCTGGGATCTTTCCACGAACCTGTCATACAATAGGCTTGCTCTATACACTCAAAAAAAGGCTCCTTTTGTGTAAAGAGACTGGTGTTTCTTGTTTGTAATGCTGTATTGAATTATGTTAAAAATAAAAAAAAAAGCTAGCTTACAAGGAAAACACTTGCTTCCTGTAGTCACTTGGCTATCATTAACTGTTAGTATGCAAATAGCAATCCTGGGGTCTGAATGGGGAACTGGAACCTAAGTAGAATCATCTTCCACAACACTGCCAGCAAGCTGAAAAAAGAATGTTACTCTCAAATTTCTAGAATAAAAACTGTTTCCTATTAAATGCCTGGTCCTATCCCTCTGTAGGTGAGGGTAGTGGTGTTTTACACTAGAACTGCCCTCAAGTGATTATAACAAGTGCCACTAAGAGAATTTCCTTGGGAGGCATCTGTCCTGGAAGATAAGTCTAAGTGAGGACAGTCACACACTGCTTATGTTAGTGTCTGCACCACTGTAAGAGCAAGCACTAAGTGTTTCTGGCCATACCTCAGCTGGATCAGCTCCAGACGTAGATTGCTGGCCTCTCACTTTCTCACTTTGCTGAGTGTGCAACAGCAACTCCTCTCTCCTACGTTGCCTTTCATAGGAGCCAACATGGCTTGAAGAAAGGAGCACCCTGAGGTGAGCTGGAAAACAGCAGAACCTTGGAGCCAAGGAAGTGGTGACTGCCTGCCCTCTAGTACAGCTGACATGGAAAGAGCCAGGCCACCCTTTTCCCTAGGGTAGGGTAAAGGAGAAGGTGGCACACAGTGAAGAGGAATAAACTAGATAGCCTGTGATAGGAGTTGAAAAAGGGCAGGCAGGAGGTGGAGGGACATGCTAGCTTTGCTCTCCCTTTGTGAACTTAGAATGGTGTGAAGGAGATGAACTTTCTGTTGAAAGCGGTAGCTGCTGTCATGTTGATGCCCCATGGTTTGCTTTCCTGATTGTGCTGGAAGTGGCTGTGGGATTTTAGTGAGCAGGAACATTGCTGTGCCCTGGGGCTTCATTACAGCCCCTCATGTGGCTACACTTAATTTTATAGCTGGCTTCAGATGGAGCTTCTGGCAGCTGAGTAATGCTGTTGTCCAATCCCTAATGAAGCTAACTCCATAATGAAAACTCAGCAGGGAACTAATGTACCCTGTGGGCTAATGGGTGTGTTACCACCCTCAGTTCAGTAAGGAAATTGCACTTGGGAGACACCTGCCAAATACCTTCACCCAAGGTCATGTCAGCCTTCGAGACATTTTGGTTGTGGGGAAGAGAGGAGCACGTAAGATTCCATTTTATTTTCTGAGACTTGTCAACCTTACTTAATTAGGATTCTAGTAAATAAGTGTTGGAGGACCGTAGTTACATTCCTATGCACAGCAATGTGTAGCAAGACCCTCTGGTTCTGCAGGGAGCTAGAGCCAGCTACTGGGGAATAGGCAGCACTTTGCTTCCTGTATGGCAAGAGCTGTGGGTGGCAGTGACGTTGGCATGGAGGAAGTGCCGCTGGGACAAGCCAGAAAGGGCAGACTTGAACACAAACTGAGGCTGATGAAGCGTTTTGGGGGGAGTGGAGTGGAGAGAATTTCCCCCAAAGCCCTCAGTTGCAATCTGGGAAAGTCACCTTGGATGGGTCATTAGTACAGGCACACCCTTGTAGGTACAGAGATCTCATCTCTCTGGTATAGAGAGGAGCGTTAGGTAAAGAGATCACTTAGGTTTGGACGTGTATTTTCTAGACAATACAGATCTAAGATACCTGAGAGTCCCACTCAAAGCAATCCCCCCCTTTTTATTTAAATTCCTGGGGGGTGAGTAAAGCTGCTACAAGCAAATTTAGTCTTTGAAGGCTCAAACTTGCTTGATATTTCAATCAATACCCCATTCTTCTGCCATTCTATTTCACTTTTGAAGATACATAGTTTTACCTGGGATGTGCTTTTTTTCTTATTTATTTAATAAACAATACCTTTATGGGAGAATTGCTGTTTCGAGTAACGCTTTGAAATAATTATTCCACTTGGGGAACACCTCTTCTAAAATACACTGTGGACAGGACAGCATTAGGGAAGGAACAGTACCGCAGGTCTTGCTAGTGGTTACTTAGGTTCTCTGTAGTGAACATAGAAAGCTGCCTGTGAGTGTTCATATTAGACATTCTGATAGACTTTGGAAACTTGTGTCAGCAGTAAAACTTCAACAAAAACAGTCGATCAAGTATTTCTTAGGGAAGTTATTCCTGACCACACTGAGGAATCTATCCAGGGAGATTAGTGTTATGTACCTTGTAATTCTGAAAAGATATGCTTGGATATCTTTAGCTAAAATACTCATGTTTGAAAAGGTCAGTGAATATTTGTCATGGTCCTGTATCCAAATACAAACAACTTACTGTGAAGTATAGATCTTGTACCTCTAGACCTCCCAAATGTGTTTTTAACAACATTATTTGATATACAATTGAGGTGTTTTTAGACACCTTTATGACAGGCATCTGTTGATTTTGAAACTTGAGTGATCGAATATCTAGAAAATCTGCATTCTTTGTGTTTGGTATTCAAGTGATCTTGCTTATTCACAGTTCACTGGTTTCCTAAATTCCATTCTGACTTACTAATGGTAAGAGACAACTAGGAGTTTCTTTTACTCATTTATGCCTGGTCTTTACAGAATTAATTGCAGAAGCTATAGCCTGGATCCTAAACCATCACAGAATGGTTATCTGATACATGGATATCTGTCTTAAAGGTAGAGGTCTTCAGTTTGATGGATGCTGGGAGTCTTTCCATTTCCAGTGAGATAGTCATTATCCAGAAATGGTGTGTTGGGCAGTACAGATGTGAGAGTTGGACTACATGCGTGCTTAGCTCAGTGTCCAGTTTTCAAGAAGTGACCAGCAGGAAACACTGTGTGAATGAGCCTGTTCCGGAGTAACGCTTCACCTGGCCCAATATTTTATTTTCCAGCGGGTAGCAGAGTTCAGCAGAGTCTTTGAGTCAGAGTTGTGTTTGAGTCTTTTTTTTTTTTTTTTAATAATCACCAGTAGACATCTTGCATGAATTTGGTGGATGAAAAGCTG